GGGTCAAGTGGATACAACCTTGCCTCCATAAGTAGAGAGGTTGCTTCTAGGACTAGAAAATATGACCACCAGGTCGCAAGCTTATTAACTTACAATTTTACCAAGGTTCACTTTGTAGCAAATGGAATTTAGTAAAAACAAAAGGTACCAACTTTTATAATGAAAATATTTATGTTTACTGCTCTGAAACGTGGATAAAAGGGCGAAGAAAAGGTGGCAATCAATGAATCAATTAAAAAATAAATTATACAAAACAAACCTGAAGCTTGTAGCGCAGCTCCAGATTTGATTATTGGCTCACCAACAGGATGATACTCACAGCCTGCTTCAAGGAGTTGCTTCCCAGATGACAGTAAGGTTGGAACTTTGTCATGATGAACCTGCTTTTGATTATCTTTTAATTCAAAATCCTCGACAAAAGGATGATTAGTATGTCCATTAAAATAGCCATTTGTTATTACGGCAGTTTTAAGCAGTGGGTTAAAGAACTGAAAAATAAAACCAGCTGCCAAACTTGAACGGTAAGCAGTTTTTGAGGAATTATCTTTAGGTACAATGGAGGCTGTAATCAAGTTAACAGCATCGTATAGAATGCTAACACTTAAAAGCTTTCCAGCTAAAAATTCCTCAACTTTTTTTGCTGTGATTGCATGTTTACTCCCATAAACACCAAAAGACAGCCTACAAGTGTCTACCACAGTTCCACCAGAATCCTTGCATGGAGACACTTTAACCAGGAAAGCAGCATTTAAATAAGGAAGGGCGTTTCCAAGGGGTCGAGGAGAAGCTCGGTAAGTTTCAAAGAGGAATCTACTTCTTGGTTCTGAGGATTGACTTTGATTGAGTTTCAAACTAGGAATTTTAATGCTTAAAAGCACACTTTCCAAACCTAACGGTGGTTTTTCCAGAAATTCCTCCAGTGTCAGCCACTCAAATTGTGTACCAGTCATAATGTGAACCATTGCATCTACAGCAAGAAGTACTACAGCAATATCTGAGGGAAAATTATTCTTTTGTGCCAGAACTAAATTGCCACCAACACTGGCTGTGTTCCGAAGAAACCCTGAGCCAATTTTACTCATATGATCAGTGATCTTTTCAAGCATCATTACATAATCTGAGATAAAGTCACTTCTGCTCTCTTCCTTCAGCGCTTCTATAGCTTTAGATATTGTCACTGTTGCTCCAATTTCAATCCCTGTTTGGTCTTTTCTGATCTTTGAAAGCTCAGAAACTCCCCGTAGATCAATATAATTATCATAGACTTCTTTATTTTTGTAATATCCCATACTTGTATTACTAACCACTATTTTTATCCGGGTTCCATTGGAATTGTGTAATTTCAATAAATTCTGAAGCTCGATTAGACTAATAGGTCTGTGCCAACTGCATTTCCCAGAAGCTAGGAACACATCATGCTTGATTTCCTTCAAAAACATAGGAAATCTATTATTTGTTTTATTCGGGACATACTGAGGCAACCTTCTAACCTTGAAGTCCTTGCTGTCTCCTTTTCTCCAGAAAGAGTTGAACCCCAAATCCTCCATATCAACATTAGCTGCAAAGCTTTTGCAGACATCAGCAATCGGTCGATACCCAGTACAGCGACAAAGATTCCCTGCAATAGCCTTCTCGGCTTCATTAACGGTTACCTTTGAGAAGCCAGCAGGTGGCTCTGGACGGTTGGTCTTTTCAGCATTGGTAAGAGTTCCAAAGAGGGAAACACACATTCCAGGAGTACAGAAGCCACATTGAGAAGCATGGAATCCTGCAAATCTTTCATGGATTGGGTGGAATCCTTCTTTCGTATTCCCAATGCCTTCACTAGTAGTAATTGAACACCCATGAATGCTGCAAAGTAGTGTGAGACAAGAGCTTGCAGTAAAATCCTCAACTTGATCAAGCACAGGATCATATTTGGAGATTAGAACTACGCAAGCACCACAACCCCCTGAAACAACCATTTCAAAACATCACCTACCAGGTTGAAAATAAAATTTAGGACTACTAAAAGGCAACACCTTCTCCTCCTTCATCTTCATGAGTAAAACCATCAGAAAAAATAAGATGAAACATTCAAATCATAACAGTCCAAGATTAATCTTATATAGAGAAAAAAAAAACAAAGGGAAAAGATGAACCCCTACAGTAAATACCAATCTTATTGAAATTGAAAGGCAAAAATAAAGAATAAAAAAGATCCAAAATTCAAATACACCCATTAAGGGGAACAACTATAAGAACTAATTCAGCAGCAATGAAGCAAGCGAATCAATAAACTCCACGACCTCCAAAGACAGAAAAATGATTGAACAGAGAGAAAAACAGACATGCATGTACCTTCACCACAGCCAAGCTTGACACTCTTGAAACGAGTGTGAGTTCGCAAGAATTCGAGTAACGTGGTTGACGGATGAACATGAGAGAGCTCAAACCTCTCACCATTAACACCAAAAACCAAACTTGTTGGTGTCTTCTGCTGTTCCATAAAATCAGTAACTGCTGTTTCAGTTTTCAAAGAGCAGAGGAGAACCTTAAACTCTTACAATGTGTGAGTCAATAAACATTCAGAAGTAATTCTTTGTAACACTGTCAAGTGTTTGAGATTGACGTGTCAACATTTGGTACGGATCTGCTGTCACCTTTTTTTTTCTCATTATTTTTTCCTAAATTTTCTAAATTATCATGAATCATTACATGTAGTAACAAAAATATCTCAGAGTAAAACATAGAAATTTTTCTGAGAATCATTAATAATTTTTTAATCATGTATTAAATATAAAATATTTACCAATTTTGAATGAAATTTCTTTTTGAAACCATATTTCATACACGTAATTTGATTCGATAATTTACTTTAAAAAATTAAATAAATTTTAAATTCAGTAAAAAAAAATCAGCTTTAATAATTTTTCATGCAGTGATTGTGGTTGACGCGTGAAGAATTGATTCTCAAGTTCAATTCTTCCATCTCTATTGAATACAATTTTTTTTGTTCAATCGGTGGTGTAACGAATTGCACGTTCTCACTGGTCCCAAGTTGATCAAGTTGAAAATTGGCACTATGAAAAGAGAGAAAGAAAAAAAAAAAATCTCATTCTCCTCTAAGATTAATAGAGAAATATTCTCAATTAATCGGAAATAAATTCTACAATATATATATATATATATATATATATATATATATGCATGTACTATTTATTTCAATAATTTTATATATAAAAAACGACTGTCTTTAGAATTTTAGTATTTTTTCTTGTAAAAAAGATAGTAGTTTAATTTTATCTTTTGCTTTAAATAAAATTTGCAAAATTCTATACTTAAATTAATATAATTAGATGTAGTGATTATTTTTATCAACTAGTTTTAAAGGTATTTTTGGAATAACATTTGAAATTAACTAACCTAATTGTTTTTATTTGTTTTATAATTTAATTATTTATTTATTTTAAATAGAATCAAGGGAGTGCTAAATATTAGATTTTAAAGTTTTTACTATTGGTTTATTTGATTTCTGAGTTTTATTTATTTATTTGATCCTTTCTTGATTACTATGTATTTATTTATGAGAGAGAAAATATTTGCTTAAGAAATACTCCAATAAATATTTTTTAATACGACTTTTGTTACTTTTAGATGCTACTATTATTATTTTTAGTTTTAATTCTTTAATATCTCTCATCATTAATATATTTATCGTTTTAACTTTTAATCTTTTTGAAACAACAACAAAAATTAAACCCATATATATAATCAAATTTTAAATATTTTCACCCTAATTAATGCACGCATTTCAAAAATACTTTTCAATTAATTGAGTTTTTTTGTTGTTGATATATTAGAACATTTAAGAAGAAAATGTGATTAGTAGAATTAAATATATTAAGTAACTTTTACAATAGTTGATTACTTTTATACAAGATAAATTTTAAGTTTCAAACACAGCAAGAGATTAATACACTTCATTTACTAGTTATTAAACTAAGAAAAAAATGACTCATGATTTCTGACATTTTATAAAAAAATCAATACAAGAGACATTATAATTTATATATAAGTATTATAAAATATATTATTTATAATTTAAGTCTTATTATAAGAACTAAAGAAAATAGTGGAAATATATTTGTATATATGTGAAATAGTTTTTAAAATAAAAATAGATATTTTTATAATCTATATTTATTATTATTTAATTAATCATTACAAAGTATTTATTATTACATTTAATGTATTTTATTTTCTTGATTAAATTATTTAATACTAGTAAATATCTATCATTAATTAGTAGGACGTTAATTATAGGTTACATGAATATCGTTCGTTTTATTTTTTCATTTGCTTTTAAACTATTTAAATATGTTTTTATCATGAAATTTAGTTATAGTTATATTTTGTGTTTTGGTCCCTTTTTTTCTTTTGATTCTTATGAAAATTTATTTTAGATGTTGGTTCTCATAATTTTGTTTTAATTATTTAATACATTTTTTAATTAGTTATTTATGAAAATACTCTATAAAGCTCTTGTTATGAAGAACTCTTAAAAATAAACTATGAATTCTTTTTATAAGATATTTTATAATTTCTATACAACTTTAGATTTTATTTTTTTCATTGCTTGTATTAATAAAATGATAAATAAAGAAATTTAAAAATCATTAATAATAAAAACTAATTTAATATATTGATAATATTTTTTTTAAATTTTAACTAAATTAATTGTTGTTATTAGTCCATGTGATTGCTAAGAAATATATGATAAGGACAAAAAACAAAGAATCTACATTAAATAATAACTCAAATAAATTCGTTGTTGTATGTTTCAAATTAGGTGAGTCAGAATCTGATGAATCAGTGCAATTGTTAGTCATTTTACTATGAGGTGAAAAGATAAATTTATTAGACAATTTTGTGTTTGATTAATGTGATATGAAAAAACAAAAACCTTTAGACCAGTGACCTTCACAAGATTAGTCAGTCCATGGTACAGTTGAGATGTTTTACTTGTTGGCCATTTTCCATTTCAAGTATGTTTGTACATTGTCCAGTCCACAGAGTTCCTTTACCACAGGCATGGTTGCAGGGACCCTCAACTCAAAAGCTGAATCTGATCTATCTTGGTTCCTCCATGAAAGAAGCTGTTTCCTTGCTTCTCTCACAGCTGCACTTGTGGCACAGTGAATGGAAGCTGCTAGAAGTAGTGGTGGCTCTCCAGAAGCTACAACAACAAATTTCATTTTTTACAGTGAAGCTTTCTCAATTTTGTGAACAGTCTTAAATAAAACATAGGCTGCAACATCCAAGTTACAATCATAATATTTTATTTTTTTTCCTCCAAACTTTTATGAAGATGAAATTGAACTGAATCTTACTTTTTTCATCCACTTCAATCCTTATGTGTGATACCAAACTGTTCACAAAAACTTCCTTTTTCATGTGTAAGTGATGTGCGTTCATGAGGAAAAAATAAATAAGATCAATGCACACGAACATGTTTTTTTGGTAACTCATTGGTCATACCTTTTGAAGAGAGGACACGGTGCTGGTGGTGTCCACTGTTGAGGATTTGAACATTAAACTGCATAGGTATAGTGTCTATAGTAGGAATTTTATAGTTCCAAGTGCCGTCTTGCAACACCAAACCTTCAACATTTGTTTCGTATTCTTCAAACATGAAAAACCCCAATCCCTGGACAAAAGCTCCTTCAATCTGCAGGATAAAATTGTATTGTTAAGAAGGATAAACATTCCTAGTGGAATAACTGAACAATGTAAATTGTAAGACACCACAGACATTGTAGGACCTCCAACTAATATCTCAAGCTTTTTGGTTGAGTTGGTTCTTGGCAAGACATTTTTAGCAACCCATTTTGGTTATCAACAAGGCTCATCAACCTCTGGTATCTAGTTGTTAACAAGATATCAAAAACTTAGAGCCTATTTAGCAAAGTGACCGTGAGTTGATTCTAGCTTTTTCTTCTTTGGATATTGAATTTAACTTATAGCATAGGTAATAGTGTGCCAATTCTTTCTCCTTTTTCTACTCCCAGAGAGCCTTGATGTGAGGCTGTGTCAATAGAAACTATTTTCGGGCCAACTCGTGTTATTCCTAGGTTAGGGCTTAGCATGCATAACAAATATGTAGTCAACTTACCTGTCCTAAATCTACCGCAGGGTTTAGACTCTGTCCACAATCATAAATAATATCTGTTCGCAAGAATCTGGTTTCTCCATTAAGAAGATCAATTTCCACCTGAAAATATTTTCCATTATTTGCATGGCATATAAGATAAGTGGCTCAGTTACTTCAGTAACTTGGCTTGTGAGTATGACAAGCATTTAACATTCAAGAGAAGTAACTAGAAACTACCAATGACTTGAGAAAATACCAGTTTGATTTGAGATATGAATTGAAAAAAAAATAAAAAAATTACCTTACTTACTGCAGCGCCATAATTAAGATATTTCATGGAGTCATTACTGGGTGTATACAATGAAGAGGCTGATAAGTTCTCAGCTTGCATGTGTGCCTGTAAGTTAATAAATTGTCAGTAACATTGTAATTAAAAATTTATGCTTGTGGGCTACGAAAATAAACAGAAATTCTATTCGCTCGTCTAAATTTCCACATTTAATTCTCTGAATATTTTTCTTAATTAAAAGGAGTTAATTATTATCCCACAGATTGTGAGAATGCTTAATTGCCAATGTTCCATCTTCCATACCTCATACTCCAAGACCTTAACAAGAAAAGCTTGAAGCAATATATCGTGTACAATTACAAATACTCATATATATGCATGCATCAATGTGAATTGAAAAACAGAAGTTGCTAAACCTTTCAGCGGTCATTAGTGAAATTCAATCATAAATAGTCTGCTCACATGGATCATAAAGAGAGAAAACAGTTCAAACGCCACTTGCTTTCATGTTACAACATGATTATGAAGAGAACTGGTTTTATCTTTGGGGAACTTCCTCCCACATTCATGAAGAAAACACAGGAAAATCTATCAATGTTGAGGTCTTTTACTTTTTTTATAGTAGCTGTAGACAAACAAGTATCTAAATAAAACACTCTCTCTATTATCACTTGATGTTTTTGCAATGAGTGATACATGTTCAATTTATAGGCCCTTTGGATATGGCCTCTCAACTACATGCATTTAATACAACTACTACCTTTCAACTACATACATTCAATACAACAACTACCTCTCAACTACTACCTCTATAACCACTACCTCTCAACTACATGTATTTAATGTTTACCTAACAAAATCCCCCCATAAACTTAAATGTTTTTCTTGTTCTTCATTCCAAGCATCTTCTTGTTGTTCTCGAACAGAGTGGTTGACAGTGGCTTCGTGAACATATCTGCAGCTTGTGTTCGGGTTCCGACGTGTTCTAACTCCACATTTCCTTCTTTCACTTGTTCTCGGATGAAATGAAACCGAACATCAATATGTTTGCTTCTCTCATGATTGACCGGATTCTTTGCCAATTCAATGGCCGACTTGTTATCAACTCGAATCACGAGTCCCTCTTTCTTGCTTCAACTCCGGCTTGTTTAGAAGGTTTCTAAGCCAAGCTGCATGACGAGACACTCCGAGGATCTTTGCAACGTACTCGGCTTCACAAGTTGACAACGTTACAATGGACTGCTTTTTTGAAAGCCAGGTGAATCTTTGTGTTTCCCATGAAGAATACATATCCAGGACGTGCTTTTCAGGTCATCGACATCTCCACACCGATCACTTATCAGAGTAGCCTACTAGTCGATAATCATCCATCCTAGTATACATTAGGCCAAGTGACACTTGTTCCTCTCACATACCTTAGAATTCTCTTTAGTGCCTTCCAATGAGTATACCTTGGCTCCTCCATATATCGACTTGCTATTCCAACACTTAGCATTAAATGCGAGTGCTGGTATTTGTAAGATACCTAAGACTTCCAATCGAGACTTCGGTATTTGCTCGCATCAACTCGGTCTCCATCCGCATACTTAGAAAGTTTTGTACCGGGTTCCATAGGGGTGGAAGCAGGGTTGCAACTTGTCATCTTAAACTTCTTCAAGATCTCCTCGGCATATCTTTCTGCGACACAAAGATGCCATCCTTTCCACTGAACAACTTCTAAGCCAAGAAAATACTTCATAAGACCCAAGTCGGTCATCTCAAACTCCTTCTTCATCACTTCTTTAAACTCTTCAATTAGCTCGACATTATTCCCCATGAAGATAAGATCATCAACATATAGGGTAACAAACATCACATCTTCTCCTTTCTTCTTTATATATAGAGCATGTTCATAAGGACACTTGCTCATATCCATTCCTTTTGAAGTAAGTGTCAATTCTTTCATTCCATGCTCGTGGAGCTTGTTTCAAGCCATAAAGTGCCTTCTTCAATCTCGGCACTTTCTTCTCTTCGCCTCTTCGCATGTATCAGAGTGGTTGTTCAACATATACTTCCTCCTCCAAGATTCCATTCGGAAATGCCGAGCTTCACGTCCATGCGCAAGATTGTTCATACGTGTTGAGTTGCTAAGGAAATCGGCGACCTAATTGTTTCCATTCTCGTCACTTGGGCGAATACTTCGTCATAGTCTATTCCTTCCTTACGCTTGTACCCCTTCACTACGAGTCGAGCTTTATATCGCTCAACTTCTCCTTCGACATTTGTCTTCTTCTTGTACACCCACTTTACGCCTATAGGTCGCGCTCCTTTGGGCAAATCGGTCGGCTCCCATGTGTTGTTGCGTTCTATTGCCCCGATCTCCTCGTCCATTGCGGTTTTCCATCTTTTCTCTGCACGGCCTCTTCAAAATTTAAGTCTTCGAATACGCAAGAGACATACAACATGCACTTCGTCGGTGGAGTTGTATATATCTTGTAAACTTCGCGCTACGGGGCTGTAGAGGTTCATCTTCTTCATCGGAAGTCTCATGATCTCTCACGGTATGTGGTGTATCAACTTCAGAGCCTCTACTTCCTATGGACTCCTTCTCAGGGTTGTTCCAACTCCACTCGCTTTCTTCATCAATTTGAACATCTCGGCTCATGATGACCTTCTTAGTTATTGGGTTAAACAACACTGTACGCCTTGGTTTTTTCATCATACCCAATAAACACGTACTTTTTGCTTCTATCTTCGAGCTTGGTCCTCTGTTGAGTTGGAACATGACCATAAGCTATGCTACCAAACACTTTAAGGTGAGACACACTCGGTTTTCTTCCACTCCGAGACTTCTTGTGGTGTCTTCTCGTTCGGCTTAGCATGTGGACATCTATTTTGCACATAGATGGCACATTGCCTTGCTTACACCTGAGAACTCCTTTGGCACATTTTTGCTTCTCAACATTGTTCGAACCATGTCAAGAATGGTTCGATTCTTCCTCTCGGCAACTCCGTTTTGTTGGGGTGAGTATGGTCTTGTCAGAAATCTCCTTATCCCTTGCTCCTCGCAATACTTCATGAGTTCGGATGAAATGAACTCGCCTCCTCGATCGGACCTAACTAGATTTGATAGGCATGCCGATCTCTTTCTCAACCATTGCTTTAAATCTCTTGAACACCTCAAACACCTCGGATTTCTCCTTCAAAAAATATACCCGAGTTTTTCTTGAAAAATCATCTATAAAAGAAATGAAATACCTTTTCCCATTTGAAGGACTCGGGGGTAACCGGTCCACAAAGATACTGTGTGAATCAATCCAGAGTTGTTCCTTTGCACGGTACTCGGCCGTCCTCGGAAATGAGGTTCTCGGATGCTTCCAGAGCACACACTCTTCACAAAATTTCTTTTCAAATTCCATAGACGGGAGTCCTCGCACCATCTCTTTCTTTACCAACTTGGTCGGCCAGCCAAAATGCAAGTGGCCAAACCGAAAGTGCCACATCATTGCTTCATCCTTCACGTTTAGTTTCAAGCACCTCTCTTGGACTATCTTCAACTCCATCTTGTACATTCTGTTCTTCTTCATTTCTACTCGGGCAATCAAACGATCCGACTTGTCCTTCGGGTATAGTACTCGGTCTTTCATCGGAGCCAGAGTAGCCTTTCTCCATCGAGTGACCCATGCTCGGTATGTTGCTTTTGAGATCGGGTACATAGTACACGTCTCCGATTTCTCCAACTCGGCTATTCTTACGTAGGTACCGGATTGTACCTCCGCCTTTTCTTGTCACCTTTGATGCATCTCCAAATGACACGTGTCCAGGCCTCGACTTTAGTGAGCTCCTTAAAAGGTTCTCGTCCCAGCACATGTGGTTACTTGCTCCTGTATCAAGATACCAAACCGAGTTGTCGGAACGGCTCGGACTTAGCTCGACATCCGAACTTCTCGACATCATCAATACTCCTTCTTCCTCGGTGTCCTCGGAGAGGAGGTTTGTCTCCTTCTTCCTCTCGGATCGGCGGTCCTTTGCGAAATGCCCAACCTTCCCACAATTATAACATTTGATACACGAATAGCGAGTCCTTAGCAAAATGGCCAGTACTTCCCACATTTGAAGCACTCAACTCCGGAATTGCTTGGCTGACCACCTCGGCCTCTACCGTCACGACCTCTACCTTGTCTTCGGCCACGCCGGTTTTGTTGGCTGGCTGGCTCCTTGCCTCTTTCATATTCTCCTCTGCCTCTACCACCTCGGCCTTGAGTGTTACGAGCATAAGGAACCTTCTTCTCCTTTAAGATTGTCTTTGCTTGGAGTGCTTGATCAAGGGACTCCTCTTTCTTCTTCCTTCTCCACTTGCTCATGCGCTTCAAGCGACCGGCAAGCTCTTCCACCGAGAGCACCGAGCAAGTCCTTGGACTCTTCTATTGCATAAACGATATTCTCAAAATCGTCGGTTAACGACCTTAAGATTTTCTCCACCACTCGGCAAGTGGGCGGCGTCTCTCCATTTCTTCGGAGTTGATTCACCACGGTCTCGACACGGGAGATGTACTCGGCAACCCCTTCAACCTCTTTCATCCTCATGCTTTCAAGCTCGCCTCTAAGAGTTTGAAGCCTGACTTGCTTCACGCGATTATCTCCTTTATATGCCTTCTCCAGAATATCCCACGCTTCTTTTGAAGATTTAGCATTTGCTATCTTCTCAAAGCCGGACTCATCAACAGCTCGGTACAGTACGTACAAAGCCGTTTTGTCCTTTACTCGTGTTCCTCTCAATGCAGCAAGCTGAGCAATCGTCTGCTCTTCAATATTCTCTGGTTCTTGGTGCCCATTTTCGACCACATCCCATACTTCTTGGGAACCAAGGAGAGCCTTCATTTGCAGGCTCCAGTTATCATAGCTTACGCCTTTTGATAACTTTGGTAGGGACATGCTGTTAGCTAAGTTGGCCATCTCAAACAAACTCTCTAACTCTCAAACACTCTCTCTAACGCACTCAGACACTCAGCCTCTCAAGCTCTGATGCCAATTTGTAGACAAACAAGTATCTAAATAAAACACTCTCTCTATTATCACTTGATGTTTTTGCAATGAGTGATACATGTTCAATTTATAGGCCC